AGTGCCTGACAATATGAAAATATGTGAAATCATTAAAATCTGTAGAAATTAAAGATCAAACAAAAAGGTATCAATATCATATGAAACCATCTTCCCCAGAAAAGGGAGTTAGCTGACTATAACATACCTTTCAACCCTAGGCAATAATTTTCTGTCTCCTTCGTACCGCCACCAGCTGCTTTTATAAGTTATTTCCCTTCTAGGTCCCCGCTATTGACCAATCATATTCCATCTCTCATATCACCTACATTTGCTTCAACAAAATGGCGACGCCAAAATCAAGACGATCTGATCTATTAATCAAGCTCTTTATTTTCATAGAACGGGTCTTAATTCGCGATAGCATCAACTCATTTGAGCACTTTGATTAAAAACATGAAAGGATTTGGAAAATATCTGTTGATGCCAAGTTGATGGCACACTTGCTCTGAAAATCGTGCAATTGACTGTAATTTGCACAGCAGCCGCCATGTTCTTTATAAATCGGATGTCGATTTTGTTACACGATTTTGATTTGACTTTGCATAGACTCGTTAGTCCAGCCAAAATTTAACTCCATAATTTCAGCCTAGTTCGGAATCTGAACTGTTATTGTCAGTTAACTCCTTTGCCTCGGGAAGATGTATGAGAAAGAAGTTATCTGAAACAGCCCCTTGAAGAAAGACCCTGAACCGATTATATGATAGATCATTAATAATAACAGGGAGGATATTAATAGCATTACCCCGAACTTTATGAAAATATCTTGATAAGATACAGCTAAAATATAGATGAAAAGGAATCTACTTCAGCCAGTCATCAAACCAAGAAAGAAGAAATGTATTAATTATATCAGTCGAATGAGACAAAATATAAACATAAATATTCAGTAAATGTAACTCCCTGTAAATACGTTAATATATGTGATGAGTATTCATGACATCTCTTTGAAAGCCATATATAAGTTCGTTTGCTGGGCAATATATAATTATTATAAAGAAAACAAAGTAGCAATCTGGGTATGTAGAAAATCTATGTATATTTAGGTGTGTTGTGTCTCGTCTCTCTCCTAGTACGCCACTTGAGAGAAAAGCCCAAACGTGCATGTACATGTGCATATGCTTTGATGATCCCTAACAGGTACATATTCCTGTGTTTCATAGTGTTTCATAGATTGTGGAGCCTGTAGTTTACTATAACGTGACTACACTATTTCCCTTCTTCATTTTACAAGGACGACGGGCAAGCCATACTTACAAACCATGACACACTCAAACTACTGCCATGTTGTGTGTATATAACGCGAATATCCTTATGTGCCGTTTAGGCCTGTAATGTAAGTCCTAGCCTGGGCCCACTTGCACGGACAGATGTCAGTGTTAAGATGATCGCAAATCCAACACTATAACAATGACAGCTGAGCATGAGCATGAAAGGTCCAGTAGTTTGAGGCGCCTCAGTTCACCATGCAGAGTTGCGTCCCTTGGGAAATCCAGAAACCCATGACTGTAGGTTCGAATTCTGCTTCGCCCCGATTCCTTTCCATGTTTGTCAATGTGCTCGTGGGTTTTCCAAAGTGGAAACGGGTAAACTTCAGAGACCTGCATCACGTCCGGCTTTCCTCCCACATTAAGCTGAAAAGACGTGATATAGCTTGAATACTGTTCAAAGCGGCCGTGATCCATGCATAGAAACATGATCATCTTTCCATATTTCCTGTAAGTGCTGGAGTGAGTGAGTGAGTGAGTTTAGATTTCGCGTCACATCGGCAGTATTACAGCCATATCGTGACTGTAAGTGCTGGAAGTACAAATGTGTAAAATTCCAGGTGTAGGCGCTCCTCGCTATTATCAGCTGAGTAGACTATTTCTGTTATCAGTGCACAAATCCAACGAAACTGTATCTGTCACAGCACATGGAGGTAGCCAATGACAGAAGATTGTTGTGTTCTGATTAAAATTGAATAGTTATTTCTTTCAGATGTTTATTGTTGTTATATTATGTTAAATGTCTTAATGTCTTAAATGTCTCATTGTGGATTGTTTCTGAGCAAATACATTTACATTTGATGCTTAACAAATAATTCCCCATTGTTTCACTCTGGTAGCTTAAGCATGCTTGGCCATAGTTTTAATACTTCATTCAAGAACAGTTATCTACCATTTGGTTTGAGCATTTTATGCATCTGTGGTACAAAACATACAGGTTTCTAGTTATCGATAATGACGTACATCTGTGCATTCATGTTGTTTATGATTCTAAGTGATATATTAGCTTTTAATCAACTAGGATACACAACCTGGAGTAAGAACATGAATCATGCAGAAATTATCAGAAGGAATCTACCTTTACTCAAAAGGGACCTGCACCCAGGAGAGATGCTTGACTACCTGTGGTCTACCAGAGCATTCAGTGACTTGGAGTATGGGATATTCAAAGAAGAAGACAAGAAACGAGCACAGACTGAAAAGCTGCTGGAAATATTGATGACAAAGGAAGAGGATGTCTATGAAAAATTCTGTGTTGTGCTACACAATAACCACCCACACCTCAAAGAGCAGTTGGACAAAACAGCGAAACATGAAGGTTGGCATTTTGAAAAAAAACCATCTCACTTTAATATGACCTTACTTGATTTGGTAGTGTGTATATCTGACACTGCTAATAAATTAAGTAAAACCTTCTTGCATGCTGCCAATAATGTCATCATACCAAATGCCGATTGGAATCCTACATATCCATATGATCAATAATTCGCATTTTTATAACTCGACAGAGCATGATCAATAATTAAATTATTTTGCAACTGGCTTCCTGTGGGGCTTGAAACGTTGAAAAGAGGTTAGGATTGCACTTTGGAACATGGTAATTAAACCGCTTTAACTGATTGTGAATTGAAGTCGTTTAACACTCGTCCTACCCGTCCCCCTCCCTCTGTCCTCCCAAAGGTATTGCATGAGCTTGTTACATTTGATAGAATGGACAGACCTTATGTTTTTGGTTATTTAGTCACAGTGTGCATGTAACATTTTCGGTTTTGTTCAAGATTCTCCAAGCCTGGTATTTGTCAGTGAGAGAGAGGTACAGGAGCGGGTGTCTGTAATGGAACAGAAGGTTGCTGTCTTGCAGGAGGTAGACATTAATTTTGTAATGGCCCTGGAGGTTTTGTCAAAGCAGCTGGAGCAGGAGAAGAACAGGACGAAAGCGGGTAGGACATCATGATACAAGATACCATTCCACTATTTGTGTTCTGTGTATAGTGTTTGGTGTAGGCAATAGAACCTAACGTGTCTATCGGAATCAAAAGGTATGACATTTACTAAAAGAAGAATATACAAATATAAGTTTAAATAATGCATTTAGATGGCAAGGTTTTGGAGGATGTTTGTTTTAATATATTCCTTGATTGGTTTCGTCATTTGTTTTCATTTTTATTCAAGTTCAAGCAATGTTAGAAGAGATGAAAGGCAAAAATGAAAGTATGTCCAAGGTAAGCCTTCGTTAAAGTAGGCAGGTAGTGCTTATAGTGGTTCATTATCTGTTATGAATTGGTTTCATTGGATGGGTAGGCAAAATGCCATGTCGCTGGGCGGCGTCGGGTACCTTAGGTACGAAACAAACCTATGCGTCTTGTGGGCCATGTGGGAACATAAAGGGACATTTCTTGACAGGCTGTGGTATATTTCAAGTACTGTTTTAAGCGAAATCGGACCAAACGCACACTGTGATTGGAATGTACAGTTTCTTTTTTCTGCTTCAAATGTCTTCAAAACCACATGAATTCCACAAAAAATATTGATGTCATTTTGCATATAATGTGTAGTTGATGAAATCTCAATATGTCATGATAAATTTTTATTTGGTATAAAAATTATTGTAGAATATATTTGTTGCCTAATTGCAGGATTTGAAGGAAATTCAGCAAAAGTTTGAAGCCCTTACCGTCATTCACACTAACAGAGAGACGAGTGAAAAAAGAGATTCATCAACATCTGAAGGTCGGTCTATTTAACAAATAGTGACACGCTTCCTTGCAACTGTTAGGTTTATCACCTATACGCTTGTATTAACGTTTTCAGCGACTCTAGTGGAGGAAACTGGCTGTGTTCTGAAAACTTCTTCAGATTGTGACACTAGACAACTGCTGTTGTTGCCATGTCTCCATGCTGCCTGTAAACCCTGCATTGACCAGCTCCACCAGAAGAACATTGTGTGTTCATGTGGGCGAGACATCAACATGGTGGAGGAAAGTGGAACAGTCGACTTCGTGAGAAGAAATGAAATCACATTTGCAAAAGAAAAACCTGAATGTGAATACCAAACAGAACAATGCAAGGGGGGCGTTGTTCGTCATTGTAAGACGTGCAACATATCTATGTGTGTTAATTGCACAACGAAACACGAGAAGACACGTGCAACCTCTCAACACACAGTTTTACTGGCTGAAGAGTTTAAGAAAATGCCAATTCGGGAACGACTAGGTCTCTCGAACTGTTCAACTCATCCTCGTGAAGTTGTCAAATATTTTGACAGACAATGCAACATTTCAGTTTGCGATGTGTGTATCAGAGGAGACCACGCCGACCATGGTATTAAAGCACTGGATGTAGCATTTAAAAATACTGAAGAGAGTCTTGTAAAAAAAGGTCGTCAGCACCAGGAAGATCTGGAGAAGATGAAGGCCTCCTCCAGACAGCAACAGACCCGGGTTACAGAGCTGGAGGAAAGGGCAGATCATGTGGAGAAGGAAATAGCTGATGTCCATAGCGACCTTGCTCTGAGTTTGGTTCAAAGGTTAAAGCATCACATCCAGCAAATAGAAAATCAAGTAGAGGAAAACAGAAGTATTCTCCGGAAAGATATGGAATGTCTGGAAACCAGTGGCTCAGCTGTACTGACTACATTAGGTTATGCTGAAAGAGCCATGGCATCTACCACACACGCCCAATTCATGGATCTGTCATCTACCATTGTCAACAAGATAGACGAAGACCTTCTCCGCGCTCTTCCCGAAAATTCAGTGAAGACACAGTCCATGAGTTTCATTCGTCAAGGACATAGAGCTCTTCACGAATTGGTTGAAATGTTTGGCACCTTCAGCACCTCTAACAAGGGCGTAGATGAACTAGATACCATGCCGACCATAACAGGTAATTTTCTTTCTACATGTGGTTTAACTTGAGTTCGTGTGTTTGAAATCATTATTTCATTCTATAAATTATTATATAAATTTACAAAACAACGAAATATCTTATATCCATTATAATGCATGGAAAAGCAAAACCACATAATGATATCTTTCTAGATTACACCCACTATATCTTTTTTTTTGTTACTGTATTTTCTAGACTTGCAAAATGAAATCGTCATTTTCAAAGATCAGGAAAAGGTAAATAAGAGAACAAACAACATGTTAAACTTTGCATTGTTTGTGTTAGATACGTCTCTATGAATATACAATAGATAAATTATCGATTGATAAACATATGTAGTGCACATGTAATCCCACCATTCGTACATGGCGTAAGTAAGTAAATGACTTCACTTTATATCAGATGTTATTTTCACACTGACAGTTTTCCCAAAATATTTTATCCAGTACAGTTATAGAAAATATATTAGAATAACCTGCTATGTCATGATTTTGTATGATAATACACGCCCCTTAAAATTCGCTTCTAAACTTAACATGTAACAAGCACAGTCTCTATGACCCACCGCCACAACCATTGTTATATTAGAATTTGTTTCTGTTTTTACATTAGCTCTTCGAAATGGAGAGGAAACGTTTGATGGAAGTGACCACGCTCTTAAAGGACAACCAGGAATCACTAGGTAAGATCGATTATGTTAATTCAAGTGAAGTGACTGCTTATTGTTGCTGATGGTGTTTACAATCCTTCAATCATACAAGGTTATCTTGTTAGTTGTAATGTGTTTTTGTATTGTGATGATTCCATTTTCATTTCGTGGTCCAATGTCATTTTCAGAGGTGAGGATAGGAGTGCCATCCCTAACACCCTAACACCTCAACCCCCACAGGATACTTGAGATTTCTGATTTTTTCAATAATAATTTCAAGAATATAAACAGGTTTCCGTGGAATTCATTACTTGATAAGAGGAAGAAGAAGAACTCCAAACAACTAATCATAACTCAGATGTTAGAATCTGTTATAAATAGTACACTTCCTCTGGAGCCAAGTTCGATGTGTCATGTCGACATGCAGTCTAGGATGCAGATGACTGCACATTGTCATGTAAAATACCTAGAGAAATATCGATACTTTGCTACATACACTCACGCCATAACATACAGGGGCGGGGCTACAATATTCCCCAACTCCATTAATTAGGGGAGGCAAGACTACAATATGCCTTTACTCCATTAATTAGAGAAATATACCCTTATTTCATTAATTAGGGGAAGCAGGGTTACAACATACCCTTATTTCATAAATCAGGGGAGGCAGGGCTGCAAGATACCCTAATTTCCTTAATCAGGGGTTGGTTGGTTTGTTGGTTGGTTCTATAACGCCACACTCAGCAATATTCCAGCTATATGACGGCGTTCTGTAAATAATCAAGTTTGGACCAGGTAATCCAGTGATTGACATCATGAGCATCGATCCACGCAATTGGGATACGATGACATGCATCAACCAAGCGAACGAAACTGACCACCCAAACCCGTTTGTCGCCTGTAACGACAAGCAAGATTTATTATATAGCTGGATTTTCACGGGTCTGCGGGAAGGTTGTTTGAATAATATTTGTATATTTACATTCAATTTAGCTGCTTTTAGTGTCAACAAGTTCTTCATAAAGAAACCAGAAGGACATTATAACATACATCTACTCCAAATTTCAATCTACAAGAATATTCAAGAAATATATCAAAATAATGTGGTTTATTGTTTATTGTGTTACTTATTGTTTGTGTCCTGTTCTGACAATGCTGTCTTACCAAACTATCATCCATCGTCAACCTACGTGCGTCCTGCAACGTGCCACACAATACTTCACCAGCTTCAAGATGACGTCACCAGGTCACGTGATACTGTGATCACAACATTGACATGCAATCTACATGTTCCTCATTATACCACGTTCATTCGTGTTTCTGTTATAACACGGTGTACATTGTGATTGCATCTGTTCGCCCACTGTGTGATTTTCGTGCTCTGTATATCCCAACGTATTTGTAATTCAGAATCTCAACTTCAAATATTTGATTTGTGTGACGTAATTAATGTTGAAGTCTTGTTTCTGCCGTTCTGAATAATTTGACAACTAACGAGCCACGCACTAGACCGGTCACTTACTAATTCTACAGTCGGGTTAAAGGATTATGTAAACACATAGTTCCAAGGTACTACTACTCCACTGTGATTATATTATACTGTTTGTATATTAGTACATTCTGAATATCTTTCATTTAAATATCATTATAGAACTCGACTATCACTATTTGTCTTATGTTTTTTTCACAAGTAAACTACATTCATATGTTGTAGGTATACATCTGAAGTATGACAAAGACAAAGTCAATCTCGACTGGGTCCACATCAACACAGAAGGAGACCTGGTCAACAGGGAGTCGGACGTTGACACCAGACCTGCAGGGGAGGGGAGACTGAAGATGTACTGGGGCACATGTAGCACTGCCCCCCTCCCCCGAGCTGGCTGTCCCCAGTACTGGGAGATGGTGTCTAGGGACAGTCATGTCAAACCACTCACAGGGAACGGCCTCATCCTGGAGGTGGGTGTATGCAGGGAGGAGCAGAGGGACGTGTCTCATTGTATCAGTGGACAACCCAGCTCCTACAGCCTGGATGTCGTCCACTGTCCTACACACGGCGTGATATGCATGGAGACATGGAAGGAGGGGAAGCATGTGTTGTGTCTGCCTGACACTCTCCCCAACAAAGCAAGGGCATCACACACACTACATTACGGTCTTGTCTATGATGACACCAGGAAGAAGATTGCCTTCATTGATGTGAAGGAGAACAAAGTGATATCGACGTTAGACAATGTAGACTCCAGTCAGCCACTGTGGCCGATGTTCGGGGTGTATAACCCATATCTCCTCACTGTCAGCATGACACTTGTAGTGGGCAGCGACATCAACATGACAGAGGAGAAGAAAGCAATGATTGTCAAGGCGCTGTCGTGATGATGACAACGATTGTCAAGGCGTTGTCGTGATGGTGACAATGATTGTCAAGGTACTGTCGTGATGGTGACAATGATTGTCAAGGCGTTGTCGTGATGGTGACTCTGATTGTCAAGGCGTTGTCGTGATGGGGACAATGATTGTCAAGGCGTTGTCGTGATGGTGACACTGATTGTCAAGGCGTTGTCGTGATGGGGACAACGAATGTCAAGGCGTTGTCGTGATCGGGACACTGATTGTCAAGGCCCTGTCGTGATGGTGACAATGGTTGTCAAGGCGCTGTCGTGATGATGACAATGATTGTCAAGGCGCTGTGGTGATGGTGACAATGATTGTCAAGGCGCTGTCGTGATGGTGACAATGATTGTCAAGGCCCTATCGTGATGGTGACAATGATTGTCAAGGCGCTGTCTTGTTGGTGACAATGATTGTTAAGGCGCTGTCGTGATGGTGACAATAATTGTCAAGGCGCTGTCGTGATGGTGACAACGATTGTCAAGGCGCTGTCGTGATGGTGACAATGATTGTCAAGGTCCTATCGTGATGGTGACACTGATTGTCAAGGCACTGCCGTGATGGTGACAATGATTGTCAAGGCGTTGGCGTGATGGGGACACTGATTGTCAAGGCGTAGTCGTGATGGTGAGAATGATGGTGATATGAACACACATAGATTTGTGGAAGACACTCACTGCTCAGGAACAACTGCGGACTGTGGGAAATGCAATCAATATCAATCTGTTTAAAGTGTTTATATCTTTTGGTTTTAAGTAAATAATGTTGTGTGCAATAAGTATATTTAGCACAAAATATCAAATATATATGTAAATACATTCTCAAGCATTTCTATAAGACATTTTGCTACAACAATTCCTTTGGATCATTTCTTACGAGAAAATTACAGAACAACTTTTACACCCGTTTTAAGTGGTACGCAAAAAACCACCGATGCACCAAAAGTGATGCTCCAACAACGAATTAATCTTACCGACATGTTTTAAACTCTTTGCAAAGGAATTAAAACAAATCCAAAATTGATGGAAAACAGCTGTTCGATTGAGCTGAGGTTAACTTTAGCTATGTCACGCGACGTGTGTGGTTTTTTTTGCTTCCAGGGTATAAGAGACTTGTTCGTTCCCACAGAAATCACATAAAGCCTGTCTTGTTCGAGGCGGAGCATAAGGAATTCATTCTGCCGCTCAAAAATTTGATTTTTCTCGAAGGCGGGATAAATAGATTTTTATCAAGATCACGTGATCCAATCAGGTCTCATCTCTCTGACATGGTGTGGTGAGGTGCGTGCGTGCGTGCGTGCGTGGGTACGTGCGGGCGATTGTTCCAGTCCGGACTAATGCCGACATTTTTGGTATGATGCGGCTCTACCACTTGACCATGGAGGCGTTCTCATTCTGACATGGAGGTATGGACCCCTGAAGATCCGGGGTAGAAAAGGTCTTCAGCATCCCATGCTTGCCATAAAAGGCGACTATGCTTGTCGATTGGGGCGTGTATTGGGATCGGATAGTGAGGCTCTCTGACTTAGTTGATATGTGTCATCGTAATCCAATTGCGTAGATCTATGTTCATGATGTCAAGAACTGATTTGTCTGGTTCAGACTCGATTATTTACAGACCGCCGTCATACAGGTGGAATATCGCTGAGGGCGGCGTTACACAACAAAGGAAAAAGTATGGAGGTATGATGACATCCCGGGGAACACCAGAAATGGACTTTAGACATTGTCCCATGTGGACAATTGCTGTGAACGCTTTAACCATCATAACATGTGTTTTGAATATGTGTACAGTTTCCGTATATGCTGTTGAAATAACGCATAAGCTGTTTGATATTTGATTCCTTAATGTGAAACATTGTATAAACCTTTTTGTTTTTTGTTTTGTTTGTGTGTGTGTTGTGGGGGGGGGGGGGGGGGGGGGGGCGTATAGTGGACTAGCCTCTGAAATAACTGACTCGGATTTTCTGTCATTTCTTTCAAACATTATGTATGTTTGGAATAACAGATACATGGTTTCACATTGCTTACACAATGCTCTGCATTCGATGTCATGTCGAGGTCAGACTCGTTACACCTGCCACTAACTTTTAGATTTTGGTCCAGACACTGAACTCTCATCTGATGGAAAACAAGTTGAACCAACTTCACCACACACTGACGATCCTTTCGCTCAAACAGAAGCTTGGATGTCGAGTTGATTACAGATTTTACGAACACTTCCAGACTCTTCCAGACTTCCTGACTTTTGAGATACAGACTTGAGAGAACACGGTTGACCGTAGCCTTACTACAAGTTGTGACCACAAAATAATTTAATGGTCTCTGCTACATTAAGGTTGCCCTGTGTGTTTAGTAAGCCTGCCCTTACAAAAGGCAAGTCTAGATAAGTGAACTGTACGCCAGTCTTACAGGGACAACTTGTTCTTATTGTTTATATACTCTAGAAATTAGCAAATAAGTCTGAACACATGAAATGAGCTACATGTATTTTACTCACTCACTCACCCACTGATTCACTCACCACTCACTCTCATTCACTGGCTCACTCACTCACCCACTCACCAACTCGCTTACTCACCAAACCACTCATCAACTCACTCTCATTCACTCGCTCATCTTTGAGCAATATATGTCGACTGTAATTATTTCCCATTAAACACAGTTACGCGACGAAAGATGTTTTTTTATGGAATAATAATCACTGACCTAACTAGAAATACCAGTTTTGTAATATTTAATGTCAGAATAAACATATGTTCTTTACTGTAATCAATGGTTATTTTGTAAACGTCGACATGTGGAATAGATCTTCAGCAACCCATGCTTGCCTCAAAATGTGACTATGCTTGTCGTAAGAGGCGACTAACGGCTCGCTGACTTGATTTGATGCATGTCATCGTATCCCAATTGCGTGGATCGATGCTCATGATGTCAATCACTGGATTGTCTGGAATATTGCTTAGGGCGGTGTCAAACAACACACACAAATTTACGCAGAGTTGCGTCCCTTGGGCACGCCAGAAACCTATGATCGTGGGTTCCAATACCGACTCGCACCGATTATGTTTCTAGGCTTGTCAGCACCATAACTGTGCTCTTAGGTTTCACCAAAGAAGTAAGTGTCTCAGACAACCAGAACTTCTGGCTTTCCACATTAAGCTGACACGTCAGACAACTGGAATACAGTAAAATGCAGCGTTTTACAACTCACTCACTCTCATCAAATCTGAAATGAGCACTGATGGATATCCTGTGACGCCCAACATCACCTTACACCCACTAGTTTATATGTATATTTGTATACACTGTATTCGTCAGTCTAAGATATGAGCACTGATGGATGTCCTGTGACGCCCAACATCACCTTACATCCACTATTTTTTATGTATGTTTGTATATTCGTCAGCCTAAGATATGAGCACAGATGGATTCCTGTGACGCCCAACATCACCTTACACCCACTAGTTTATATGTACACTACTGCCTAAAAGTTAATTCCCCTAACACGCGTTGAGAACGCGTGTAACACGCATGTGACACGGGTGCTCAACGGTTGCACACGCGTGTGCCACGCGTGTGCCACGCGTGTAACACGGGACCGGGTTCCAGTTGAAGTTGACAAATTTATCAAATGAATAGTGAGATAAAACAAAACAGTGAGATGTGAAATTTGAGTTAATGAGCGGCCATTGAGCTGTGTTCACCAGGCCGTAAATACAATGTCGGCCCGTCTTAATTAGTGTTCGGTTGCTAGACTTTTGTGGCATGAACCATTCCACTAGGGTCCAGTCTAGCCATTTTTGCTAGCCGACAGTAGAACAGTAGTGAATTTAGATGCGAGTTTATTGCTAGGGGAACCCCCGTGTTGACACGATTGTCGCGGGTTGGTAAATGTTCGCCATTAATAAAATGATTGTTTGTGGATTGCGAACATATTCATTTGCCCACACGAGTCATTCCACTTGATTGCAAATATAACGTTTTTCGTTCGCCAAATTTATGCTTTACAGACAGTACAATTATGATATAGCCGTCACCACTACTAATGTCTCATTATTTCACGTAGGAATATGTCCCATTTCCCAACACCCCACTTTCTGTTTTGTATTTTGAAAGAATAAATAAAAGGAGGTTTTGTGTGGGACACTTTTATACTAATTATAAGAGGATTTTGTGAATGAATATGAACAGCCATGCTGTTTGACTGTTGATAGAATTTGAGATCTTCACAATCACCGGATGTGACCATGTGACAGAATCTCGTTAGGGTTTGTGATTTTCACATTTGCCCAATGACCATAGTGAGTATTGCTGGGGATACCAAACGTAACAGTTTATTATTAGAGGTTGTGAGTATCTATACCACGTAGATAGGATATCTTTAGGATTTTAATCCTTCTTTGAGAGGCATTTAGAAGTTGGAGTACTACGTTAGGATAAGATTTATGGGTGACTTTAATCCTTTCTTTCTCTGTGGGTAATCCTTTCACGTTGATTGGGGGAAGTCACTCAACCAGGTCATGACAGGTCGTGAGTTTACTCACTAACTACTGTGAGCGTTTGGGCATGACATCTTTTCTTGTATAAACATAGAAACGATGCTCACTCACTCACTGTTAATCTTCTGCAGTTTGCTGGCAAAGTGGGGATAAACCCCAGTGTCAAAGGCGATCAAACTTTGGGGACATTTTCATAAACTTGGCAAGTGATGATGAATTTTAATATTAATATTATTATAGTTTATGAAATTGTTAATAAAACTTTAATAAAATTGTGCTTCACTCTCACGAAAACTGTATTGTCTGTGATTAAATTTATATGTCACGTTACTTCGGCATTTTTCAGTGATATTTGGACTACATTTCTGATACAGGTGCTTGACTGACTGAGTAGTTCATGATCAATTAGATATGTTTAAATCAGTCAAGTTTGCAACAATAGATGAATAAGTTGATACATTTGGACCGCAGTTACCGATTAACAACTTAAGACATAGAGACAGGGAGGAGATATATAACCAAACCTATGGTTCTGTTGAGACAGTTGACAGTTAGAACGTTGGATTAAATGACAGTAACTAATTTGAACATTCCCCAGTAATATCATAAAATACATCATAACTCATAACAGTCCGAGAGACAGCTTCCAGCCATATACTAGTATTGAAGGGACAATCGCTTTTGACAGTTTAAAAATAAACTCACCTTAAGGTGCTTGGCAAGTCAAAACTGACCTCCCTGAATATGTTTTTTAGGTTTGACAGCAACTATGCTTGTGGATTTCAGAGATAGACATGATGTGTTAGCTAGATATTATTACAATAAGCGAAAATGTCTTAAAAGTCCACAGTT